TCTCAGAAGTATCTCTGTCGTTAAGCGACACATAACCGTACCCTAAAAGACAAATGTGAGAAAGGCAACTCATAACAAGCCCAACCTGGAGACAGTCTAAACGTCTGTTGACAGTAAATGAATGAACCGTGAAATATTCCTGCCATTAAATACTAGGTAGCTATGAAAATCGACTAACTACTGTGACACACAATATGGGTGGATCTCACAAACACAGTGTGGAACAAAAGAAGCCAAAGGGCACGTGCTTTTTACCCCAGTGATGTAACATTTAGTATGGTTGATGTAAGGAGCGTAGTGAGCTTGGGGGACAGGGATGGAGTACAGCTTGGGAGAAGGCATAAGAGGAGATAATTTGGGCGGGGGTAACATGGGTGTGTTCACTGTATGACAGCTCATCAGGTTGTAGATTATGATGCACACTTTTCTGCACATATGCAATATATCAATTTAAAAGTTTTCTATCTACAGGACCCAGGGAGAGGGAAAAGTATTCAGCAACGCCCCTGCTGAGGCACAGCTGGAACAGGTGCCAAGGCATGCCTAATCTGTCCACAAGGCACTGGCCAGCTGGACTGCAGCCCTGGATGGCCACCAGATCCATATTGACAAGGGGGCATTTTCCCTGAGCAACAGATTATCTACCCAACTTCCCACTGGATGTCTCCGCCTGGAATTCCCACAAGGAACTCAAAGTAAACCAATCTCAAACTGAGCTCGATATCTAGGCCTGCCTCACCTGGAAGGTAACTTTCTGAGTTTAGGGTACCATCACCCACACAAACTAGAAATCCTGGGCATGGCGCATGGGGTGGGCTAGGAGGGGCATGTGATCCCTTTCACTTCTCCTTCATGCCTTAGGGCCAAGAGGTCCCATCAACTCCGCCTGCTAAAACTGTCTGGTTCTCCCTGCCCACACTCCCACTGTCTAGACCCTCTTTCTCTCTCACCTGGGCTCTTATCTAGGTCTTCACTGGCCCCCTTGCCCCACTTGCTGCCCCTCCAATCCACCCTCTGCACTGCGAAGTAATCTTCTGATACCCAAACTCTGCAGTATGGCATACAAAAACACTCGTGGAGATGACTGTAAGCTTACCTCCTGCCTCTCTCACTCTCATATTTTATACCCCAAAAAAATTAATCACTAAGTGGCCCCCAATCAAGCCATGCTAGTTCACATAAACACACTTTCCATGTGCTAGAAAGGTCCTAAGCACTCCTTCAATTCAAATTTCCCTTTCCCTGTTGCAAGAATAACTTCTTGAAAAAGCAAACCCCATGTCCTTAGGCGTCTAGCATTCTAACACATCACTCTCTCCTTTACAAAGGTTCTTGGCCCTCAGAGGTGTCAGGCATGTACACAACCTAGGGGTCCACCAGGACAACAGGCTTATAGATACGACATATGAGTGGAAAAAGAATCACACAAACACAATCAGCAGAAAACCCAGAGGCGAGGGAAAGCAAGGGCGGCCAGAAGCCCCAGGCAATGGGCCCATGCAGTCTGGGTGACCGATGAAGAAAATTGCTTTCAGTCCTAGATTATATCATTCCGCATAAAAGCATAACTGGTGGAGCCCATCGTGGTTAAGAGCGTGGAATCTGGAGCCAGACTGCCAAGGTTTGATCTTGGCCCTGTTACTTACCACCAGGGACCATGAGCAAGATCCTTATCCTTTCTGTGCCTCAGTTTCCTCATTTGAACAATGGGATTTGTGGGAATGAAATGAGTTAACACCTGGAAAGCACTGTATGGCACACCATAGCTGTATATAAATGGTAGATGTTATGATGTTCATATGCTGAAGGCCAAAAAGAGCCAGAAAAACTACATATTGAAAAACAAAAACAAAAAACAAAAGACAAAACCCTACCTCTGTCCATCCATGAAGGTCTGCCACAGGCTCCACATTCCAACTCTAAACTTTTAAACCATCTCTCCTCTTATCCCGGGACAACTAACTCAGGGATCCAGGTTCAGGTCCTCCCAACACAGGTGCCTAAATCTCAGTCTCCTCAATTTCTTTTCATATGGAGCTTCAGCTGTGAAGTTTATGGAACTATGATATGGTTTCAGGAGAAATCCTGGAATGGTATTTTAGTTCTTCTCAGGTATCCTGTTCCCCCCACCCTTTTTTTTTTTTTTTTTTTTTTTGAGACAGAGTCTCGCTCTGTTACAGCCCAGGCTGGAGTGCAGTGGCGCGATCTTGGCTCACTGCAAGCTCTGCCTCCCGGGTTCACGCCATTCTTTTGCCTCAGCCTTCCGAGTAGCTGGGGCTACAGGCGCCCACCACCACACCCAGCTAATTTTTTGTATTTTTAGTAGAGATGGGGTTTCACCGTGTTAGCCAGGATGGTCTCAATCTCCTGACCTCATAATCTGCCCCCCTTGGCCTCCCAAAGTGCTGGGATTACAGACGTGAGCCACCGCGCCCGGCCTGTTTTCCCCCTTTTCAAGGTGACTAGAATAGTGCTTCCTTATTCAAGAAATGATCAATGAGAAATGAGAGGTAATCAGGGTTGTCTACTTTAGGGGTCCTCAAGCCCCGGGCCGTAGACCAGTACTGGTCCATGCAGAAATTGGGCCACACAGCAGGAGGTGAGCAGTGACCAGGGAGCATTATCTCCTAAGTTCCACCTCCTGTCAGATCAGCCGCGGCATTAGATTCTCACAGGAGCGTGAACCCCATTGTGAACTGCACATGCAAGAGATCTAGGTTGAGAGCTCCTTGTGAGGAGCTCTCAAAAAATGTCTTCCACAAAACGGGTTCCTGGTGCTAAAAAGGTTGGAGACCACTACTCTACTTAACATTTTCACTAGGTTCCCTTAAAAAGAGGACTAAATAATCATCACAATAACTTTCTTTTCTGTTTATAAAGAATAGAGACCAATTAGAACAAATATCTGAGAAAAATGGGGTACTGTGTTATAGTCACACTGTTTTCACCTTCTACTGTATAAGCATTGGTTTGTTACCCTTTTCCCTCCTGTAAGCTGCTTTCACAAGTCAACCCTGACCACCAATATGGGAACTCAGATAACAATAATAGCCATGACTTATTGAGAACTTACTGAATAATAAGACTTTTGCATACATTATGGTGGCCAGCTAAGAGCTGTCTCCTCAAACCCATTTGCCCCCTCTTCACCATAGTGAGCTGTCACCATGGATGAGCAGCTGCTCCAGGCACAGACAGGGAGCCCCATGCCATGGATGGCAGAGCTGCCCCACCTGCCAGGGCCCCTGAATGGCCTTGTGGCACAGATCCTGCTGTGGGCAGTTCAACTGGAGAGTTATAAACTTCCAGTTGAGGAATCTGTTTGATAGGGTACCTTAGGCAAACACCAGCTAATATAATTACCTCAGTCAATCCCTAAAAAACACAGGGGACCTAAGGTACCACCTACCTCATTGAGTTACTGTGAGGATGAGAAACTGCATGCAGAGTCCTCATATACACACTTTCACTACTCCTATTTGAAAACATTTGTACTGCTATTATTAGCCCCATTTTACGGATAAAAAAGTGGTAAATAAAATGCTCAAGACCATATAGTTAATGTGTGGTAGTGTCAGAATGGGAACTCAGACATCCAGCCTTAAAACTGATCTTTTAACCTCTGTGCTATTCTGCTTCCAAAAGGATGAAATGAGATCATACATAAAGAGCTTGGCCCAGCCGAGGGGCCATCACCTAACCGTGCTCAGAAGTGCATCATGCTTGAGAGTGTGGGCTGTGGAGGTGATGGGCATCCAATGGCATCCAATTCTGCCCTGCTAGTATTAGATTTACGCTTAGGCAGAAACCTTGTTTTTCTCATCTGTGAAAAGAGGGTGATACTACCAACCTTATCAGGCTGTAGTGAAAATTAAAGGAAGTAACACGTACCAACGGCTTATGACCAAGCCAGGCACAAGACAGCGTTCAATGATGCAAGCAGAAGGAAGCAGGGAACAGCTGGGGCTTCTTGCCCCTTTCCTCTGTCCTAACAGCTCTTTTTTGCAGACACTGGGAATCAAAACCAAAATGCATACAACCTTCCACCTTGAAGTACAGCACCACATCATCTCTTCGCTAAGCCTAATTCCCATTTTCTGGATAGGAAACTGAGACACAAAGTATCTCCAGAATCATATCAGAGGTAAGTAGCAGGCCAGGATTCAGACGCAGCTCCAAATCTCCGGCCGTCACGCTGCATGGCCCCTCACTCGGCTACCTCTCTTCTCAAAGCACTCTCGAGTCAGATAAAGGAGCTCTGTCCATAAATGAACGCACGAATGAATAATTTAAAAAATTTTAAATCCACTTGACAAATGAAAAGAGGGTGTACGGAGGTAAAACGTGGTTCCACCATGCGTTGGCTATGAGTCCTTGACCCCGCCAGCTTCAGTTTCCCAATCACTAAAATAGGGATTTGAACACCTCCTTTGCAGGGTCCCGGTGGACATCAAATGAAGAACTGTGTGTAAGCTCTCGGTACAGTGTACCTGGCATATATTAGGTTTTAATAAACGGCAACCAATTCTGACTAACGGTTGTCCCTGGGGAATACCTGCCAGGCACAGAGGGAGGCCCTACGGCGGCGCGGGGCAGAACGGGGCAGCAGCCGTCTAGGGAAGTGAGAAAAGGGATTAGAGGGATTACAGAAACGGGCGGCCAGGCACAGGCACCCCCTAAGCGTGCGATTTGGCCCCTGGGGGGCCTCCAGCGTCGGCTGCCGCGGAGAGCACCCAGGTCCCACCTGCCCGGCAACAAGCGCACCCCGAGCGAGCCCAGGGCCTCTGATCACCATGCCAGGCCCCGCTGCCAGAGTCCTAGGGGACAAGCCCAGCTCGGGGCCAGCGTCTGGACGCCTGTGTCCGGACTGCGCGGGGGAAGGAGGGAGTGGAGATGTTTTCGGATCGCGAGCGCCGCGCGAGAACCCTGCCGCAACCGAAAGAAACAGACCCCTTGGCGCCGCCTCTCGCGTGGCGCCCCCTCCCCACCCCGCCCCCTACCTGCCGAAGTGCCCCACGTGGTCATAGATCCACTCGAAGTGGCGGGACCCCATGGTGCTGCCGTGCACTGGGCGCAGAGTTAGCCGAGCTCCGGGGGCTGCGGGTAGCGCGCCCCGCCCCGAACCTCCCCGCCCGGCCTCCTGCGCTCCCCGCGCGTCCGAGTGCTCGGTACGAGCGCGAGGCTGTACTCTGTTCCTCCCTCCGTCGCTTGGCCACTCCGTCCCCTCAAGTATCTTCGGCTTTTTCCCGCCGCCTCGGCCTCCTCCCCGGCGCGCTGTGGTCCCGGAGCCCGCGGTCGCGTGATGCCCGCGCCCCCAGCCCCGCCGCTCTCCCGCCAGCCCCGCCGCCAGCCTGGCTGGCTCTTGGCACCGTAACCGTGGGGTCGTCACGCTCGAGGGAAGCCCCAACGCCTGGGAAAAATTGTCACTGAGAGAGAGCCCAGGGTGGGGATGCAAGGTCCAGGTGCAGTCTATTGGCCGCAAGAATATATGGCCTTCCGCATGACGCCCCTCACAAACATGGTTCTCAAATTTTCATGCCTGAGAATCTACCGTAGAACTTGGTTTAAAAGGTACATTTAAGGCCCGGCGCACTGGCTCACACCTGTAATCCCAGCACTTTGGGAGGCTGAGGCGGGCGGATCACCTGAGGGAGTTCAAGACCACGTGGAGAAAGCCCTTCTCTACTAAAAATACAAAATTAGCCGGGCGTGGTGACGAATGCCTGTAATCCCTGCTACTCGGGAGGCTAAGGCAGGAGAATCGCTTGAACCCGGGAGGCGGAGGTTGCGGTAAGCCAGGATCTTGCCATTGCACTCCAGCCTGGGCAACAAGAGTGAAACTCCGTCTCAAAAAAAAAAAAAAAAAAAAGTACAATTAGGCTGGCGCGGTGGCTCAGGCCTGTAATCCCAGTGCTTTGGGAGGCCGACGGGGGAGGATTGCTGGAGCCAAGGAGTTTGAGACCATCATATAGTGACACCTAGTCTCTACAAAAATAAAAAAATAAATAAATGTAAATTTATTTCTAGACTCCACCCATGATGAGTCAGTCTGCCTGGGGCACAGGAATCTGATTTGTCTTTCTTTCTTTCTTTTTTTTTTTTTTTTTTTTTTTTTTTGAGACGGAGTCTCGCTCTGTCTCCCAGGCTGGAGTGCAGTGGTGCGATCTCGGTTCACTGCAAGCTCCACCTCCCGGGTTCACGCCATTCTCCTGCCTCAGCCTCCCGAGAAGCTGGGACTACAGGCACCCGCCACCTCGCCCGGTTAGTTTTTTATATTTTTAGTAGAAATGGGTTTCACCGTGTTAGCCAGGATGGTCCCGATCTCCTGACCTCGTGATCTGACCGCCTTGGCCTCCCGGAATCTGATTTTTAATAAGCAGACCACATCATTCCAAGCCACACTTTGGACTGGGCAGGGGTTTGGCACATGGCCATCCCAGGCAGGGGGTGGCCTTCCTTCTGGAAGGTATCAGGTGAATGAACTTTAGGGAAGAAAGGCCAATGGCTGGTCCATAGCGCTGAAGCAGAAAAGCCAGTTTCCAACTATATCCACAGCGAGAGTTGCCTTCTCTAGTCAGCCTGGCAGTCACTGGTCGCACTGTCAGTGTGCTACTCCGCTCTATAAGGCCACTAGACCTTGAGCTCCTAGAGAACAGAGATGCATTATCTTTGTCACTTTGGTAGCCTCAGTTCCATAGCAAATGCTCTCTCTTTGAACTTCTCCACCTCATCCTTAAAATCTGAGCACACGTATCGCTTTCTCAGAGAAATCCAACAGTTTGAGGGCCAGGGCAGAGCTCCACCAGAGCAGAGCAGCAAGACTGGGTCTGAGGGCTCAAGAAGTGGCAGGATCTTGCAAGGCTGTGTCAAACATTTTACTTTGACCAAAGGACAAAGAGAATTCACTGTAGACAGTCTTAAAGCAGAAGAGTAATAAGAGCAAACTTCTACTTGAATAGTATTTGAAAAACAGGAGGGTCCATTTCCCAAAGTGCTTCCCTCCCCTACTTGTCACAGAGCCTACAATAACACCATTAAAAATTGGCTTACTTTTGTTATGCACAATCCTATCTAGACATTCTCTTCTGAAACATAAATACTTTTGGAAGGACTGAACCCTTAAGTAATGAACAGCTTGGAGAGGTTTTTTTTTTTTTGGTTTTTTTTTGTTTTTTTTTTGACAGAGTTTCGCTCTTGTTGCCTAGGCTGGTGTGCAATGGCGCGATCTCGGCTCACTGCAACCTCCGCCCCCTGGGTTCAAGCGATTCTCCTGCCTCAGCCTCCCAAGTAGCTGGGATTACAGTTATGCCCCAAAACTCCCAGCTCATTTTGTATTTTTTTAGTAGAGACAGGGATTATCCATGTCGGTCAGGCTAGTCCCAAACTCCTGACCTCAGGTGATCCGCCCGCCTTGGCTTCCAAAGTGCTGGGATTACAGGCGTGAACCACCGTGCCTGACCAGGTTTTTAAATTAGATAGTTTCCTGCTAACTAAAGAGACTTTAAAAAGCCTAAGTTCTTCAGGTGAGGAATGCTAGAAAGATACAAGGTGGGGGGAAGATGAGAGAGTAGTGAGGAGTGCTTTTGTCAAGGGCTGAGCCTAGGAGGAAAGGTAGGGGCCATGGCAGCCAGTCAAGATGCCCTATTGCTTCAAAGCACCAAAGGGAGAGTTACCTGGAAAAGATATGGAGAAACTGAATTTTGATATGAACACTATTCTAATTACACCAGATAGAAATGGCACAATATGGATAAAATGGACAAATCCCTTGAAAAATATAATCTAACAACACTCAGGAATAAATAGATAACCAGAATAGGCCTACATCTATTAAAGAAATTGAATATGCAATTAAAAACTTTATGATATGGTTTGGATGTTTGTCGTCTCCAAATCTCGTGTTGAAATGTAGCCCCCAATGTTGGAGGTGGGGCCTGGTGGGAGGCGTTTGGATCATGGATCCTTCATGAATGTCTTGGTGCCATCCTCCCCAGTAATGAGTGAATTCTCAGTTATGAGTTCACACAAGATCTGGTTGTTTGAAAGAGTCTGGAACTTCCTCCTCTTTTTCTCTTGTTCCTTCTCTCACCATGTGACTCAGGCATCGCTTCATCTTCTGCCATGACTGGAAGCTTCTGAGGCCCTCACCAGAAGTAGATGCTGGCACTATGCTTCATGTACAGCCTGCAGAACCATAAGCCAAATAAATCTCCTTTCTTTATAAATTATCCAGTCTCAGGTATTCCTTTATAGCAATGCAAACAAACTAACACATGTTTCCACAAAGAAAACCCCAGGATTGGCCACGTGCAGTGGCTCACACTTTACGAGGCTGAGGCAGGAGGATCGCTTGAGCCAAGGAGTTTGAGACCAGCCTGGGCAACATGGTAAAACTTCATCTCTATAAAAAATACAAAACATTTTGCCAGGCATCGTGGTGCATGCCTGTTATCCTAGCTACTTGGGAGGCTGAGGTGGGAGGATTGCTTGAGCCTGGAAGGTCAAGGCTTCGGTGAGCCATGATTGGGCCACTGCACTCCAGCCTGGGTGACAGAGTGAGATCCTGCCTCAAAAAAAAAGAAAAAAGAAAAAGAAAAGAAAGAAAACCCCAGAGTCAGACATTTAAGGTAGAAATAATATTGATTCTGCACAAACTATTCAAGGAAATTGAAGAGGAGGGGATACCTCCCAAATCACTGAATGGTCCAGCATTACTCTGATATCAAAACCAGGTAAAGACCTTACAAGGCAAGAAAACTATACACCAATATACCTATATGAACATAGATACAATAATTCTTAACAAAATTTTAGCAAATTGGATGTCTCTTTATATTTTAAAAGGACAGTACATCATGAACATATGAGATTTATCACAAGAATGAATGATTTAATATCCAAAAATCAAGCAATATAATTTATCATACTAACAGACCATATGAAAAAACATGATCATCCCAATCAATGCAAAAAACACATTTGAGAGAAGCCAACACCTTTTCATAATAAAAACACTGAACAAACTAAGAATATAAGGGAATTATATCCATCTCATAAGGGGCATCTCCAAAAAACAACCCACAGCTAACAGTATACATCATGTGAAAGACTGTATGTTTTCCCCCTAAGTTTGGGAATTAGACAAGGATGTCTGTTCTCACTACTTCTATTCAGCTTTGTATGGGGCATTCTAACCAGAGCATTGGGTGGGAAAAAAGGCATTCAAATTGAAAAGGAAGAAATAAAACTGTATTTATTCACAGATGACATGGTCATATATAGAGAAAATCTGATGGAATCTATTTTTAATAGCTACTAGAATAATTGATTTTAGCAAAGTTGCAGGATATAAGATTAATATACAACAGTATGCTGTATTTCAATATACTAGTAAGGAACAACTAGAAATTGGAATTTTTTAAACACTGTTTTCTTCTTTTTTTTGAGATAGGGTCTTACTGTGTTGTCCAGTCTGGACTGTGGTGGAATGATCATAGCCCACTGCAGCCTCAACCTCCTGGGTTCAAGTGATCCTCCCACCTCAGCCTCCTGAGTATCTGTGACTTCAGGCATGCACCACCATGCCCAGCTAATTTTGTAAATTTTTATTTATTTTGTCTTTTTTCCCCCTTTTTGTAGAGAACATAGTCTTGCTATATTGCCCAAGCAGGTCTCAAACTCCTGGGCTTAAGCTGTACCCCCACCTCTGCCTCCCTAAATGATAGGATTATAGACATGATCCACTGTGCCTGGCTATTTTTTTTTTTTTTTTTTTTTTTTTTTTTGTAGAGAGGAGGTCTCGCTATGCTGCCTAGGCAGATCTTGAACTCCTAGGCTCAAGCAGTCTTCCTGTCTCAGCCTCCCAAAGCCATGCTGGGATTACAGGCATAAGCCACCAGGCCCAGCCTAAAATACCATTTTCAATAGCACTAAAAATATACTTAGGGATAAATCTGACAAAAAATATGTGAGATCTGCACACTGAAAACTAGGTATGAACATGTATTGTGCAACTTGCTCTTTCTCTTAAACATCTGTTTGTGAAATTCATCCATATTGATACATGCAGCTCTAATCCTTTGTTTTTCATTACTACATAATATTCCATTGTCCCAGTAAACCACAATTCGCTTCACCATTTTCTTATTAATGGATAGGCAGGTTATAGCCAAAATTTTACTACAGCAACACTGCTATAAACTGTCCCTCTGTACATATTTGTGAGTTTTTCTAAGGCATATCTCCAGGAGTTGCTGTGTTATATGCATATCTTATACCACAACAACAACTGGAGATATACCTTAGAAAAACTTAAAAGCCAGATTGCTTTCTAAAGTGATTATATCAATTTATCTTCCAATCAGGAGAGTATGAAAGTTCTAATTTCCCCACATCTTTGCCAATACTTGTATCATCAGACTCTTAA